TCCGACCGAAATTCCATCGGAAGCATAGTGGTTTTCGACGGAATATTCCGTCGAAAGGTTGTAGGTTCCGACGAAATTCAGACCGTCGGAATGCTGTGACGGACTTCACAATTAAGTCAAACTTGACTCCGACAGAACAAAATCCGTCGGAAAGGTCTCTTCCGATGGAATATCACAAAATACCTATAAAGGGTTTTCCGACAACGCTTTCCGATGGAATTCCATTGGAAATAACCATTTCTAACGGAATTTTAGGGTTTTCCGACGGATTTTTTCTGTCGTTGATTGGCTGTTCTCTAGTAGTGCGTCGGACGACTGTTCTCCAAGTCTTAGCAACCGTAGTTGCCAGTCAAAGGTTGGACGTTTCTTACCGCCTGTCCTCAAAATAGAGGATGCTGCAAGAAATATTGTTGTTGCGGCACGTATGGCTGGTGTGGCACGTGCGTAGCCGACTGGTTTTTATGGGATCTGGACCGACGGGAGGTGCCGCCGGTCTTGCTCTCATAATTTAATTGTGAATACCTCATGGAGGTATTGTGCAGACTGTCTTCAAAATCGGATGTAGAGGCCGACTCTGATAGTCGGTCACTCTTGTTCTGCTCTAGCAAAAATCGATCATCAGAGTAAATTTTCTTCGTCCCATCCGCTTGAATATGGCGGATAGGTTTCCTCATCCTAGTTGACGGGAAGCGGAATTTCGTCCAATTAACTACTTGTTGTCGACTAGTCCTAAGCTTTGGGTAAGGGGTCACCGCACAACCAGTAACAGACTTCATCCTTCCAGAGTGGGGGACTTTCTAGCCGATTGTTCCTTTGCAGGAACAGGTGTTCTCTTCTTAATCAGCTCTTGGATCTCTCCTTTGAATCCCCACATGAAGGTCATGAGTTCGTTCCTTGTAATGGGAGTGGATCCCTCAGCAGCCTGTTGTTGCTCTGGCGGTGGGCCGGTTGGATTGCTAGGACCAGCTTGGCAATCTACCTGCTCCCTCCTATTGGTGGGACGGGTGCGTTGGGCCCTTAGGGTCCCTTCTGAGGCCGTGTGTGTTTCTACCTCGACCTCATCATCAGTATCTTTGTCTGAATAGACCTAAGGGTCCTCCACTGGACGCCTCTCTTCTGGATTCGGTACATACTGTGATTCCATCTAGAAAGTACTCTCCCCACAAACGGCGCCAAAATGTGTCGGGGTTTTTTAATGTCCTGCGGGAGAGTTACAATTCTGAGACTGGAATCCGTGCGCCTATACGTGCAAAACAACGGAGACTCCGGGTGGTGGGAGTTCCGCCTCCGACGGTCAAGTTAGTACTTGTTCGAGGAGTGATAAATGCGAAAAAGTAAAGATTGGGAGATCTGGTTCCTCTAGATTAGGAGTGATCATTGTGTTTAGGTTTTGTAGGTGAGATTACTTAATTGCTGAATCCCTCTTTCATGAGGATTAGTGAAGGTATTTATATGCCTTGTGATGCGTGTCAGTCCTAGGTTTAGGTCAACCTAGGGCTGATTAGGCTTCCACAAGACATTGGGCCTAGGTGGCCGGTTTTTCCATTTGGCATGGGGAAGGCCACGTGTCGTGGCATAAGAGGTCCAAGGTGGACTGGTAAACACTTGACACATGGCAGGCTCCAATTGGTCCATGTGGCTGACACTTGGCAGAGCCTGAATGGTCCACTTGCCAGATGATGATTGGTAAGGAAAAATCCCCTAATCAACACCAAATCGAATAACCAAACCGAAACGAAAAATTAATCCGAAGGATTAGATGAGTCATTAGAGTAATACAAACAAAGACGTCGGATATCGAGCTTATAGCGTCGAAACCGAAGTCGAGTCTAAATTAGATCGACGAGACGTGAAATCAAGCAAACGACAAGTTCAAGCTAAGTCGTAGCTTCGCATTGGCCTAGCCATGCGAACGCTAGGTTAGGATAGGGCACCAACCACATCGCATGGCTATGCCGCAATCCAAGCATGCATATGCATGCTAGGATTGCTGGCCGTGCATGCTTGCGGGGCTGGTGCACCCGGCCGCATGCAAGCTAGAAGTTGGCTCGCTATGTATGCTACCGTGCTAGCTGTGCGTAGGCATATGCGGGCTGGCTGGCAAGCCCAACCATGGTGCTAGGTGCTAGCGAGGCAGCCAAGGCCGGCTGCTTGCCAGCTTATGCATGTGCCACCACATGCTTGGGGAGCCAAATTTTTAGTGGGTTGCTTGGGGAGCAAGGGGAGGTGGGTCCCCCTCTTGTGGTCCTCACCTAACCCATTGCTCACCTCTTGACACTTGATGTTTGTTGATTCACTTGCATTTAAATTTAATTTTGAATTAAAATAAATTGAATAAAGTGCATTTTACCTACTCTCCCACATTGATGGGAGATTGGAATTCAAGGGTTCCCTTCGCTATAAATACCAATCATTTTGGCATTGGGAAGGGACACTTAAGTTATGAATTTTAAGGGATCTCAAGAAGAGAATAACTTAATTCTAATGCTCTATGTTTTCTTGGTCTAGCCCCAACTAAGACTCGGGGTAGGGGCTGTTCAGGTCAGGTCTCGAGGGTAAGAGCCGTCAGAGGCTTGCACATTTACGGAGCTATACGCTTTCAAGTACGAGCTCCTAGAATGAGCGAAGCACGCATCAAGGGTAAGATCTTCTTTTCTTCTTTCTTTCTCATTGTTAATTAATTATGTGATTGTTAATTAGTTAATATGCATGTTTAGTTACATTATTATGTGTGCAGATTTTGGGAGGGTTTCATTCCGCTTAGAGTCGGACACTATGAAACCCAACAGAACATACCTTACAAGCTAAGTTGCATGCTCTCTATTTGTGCTCCCATAGCCGCCATCTCTTGTTGGTGGTCATGTTGTTGGTAGTCTTGTTGTTATTGTTGACGTCTCCTTCCTCCTTGGTGTTGACGTTGTTGTTGTTATTGTTGTTGCTGTTGAATAGGAGGAACCACCTCTACAACATCTTCATCTTCCTCCTCATTACCACCCTCTTCATCATCCTCCAATCTTGCACGCGGGAGGATACCCGAAACCCTTCTCACCCACCATGGGTGATTATCTCCTTCCCTAGTAAAGGAAGTGAACTCTGGCTTGGGGAGGAGACAATGATGCTCAAGGGAGACAAGCAAGCCCCACGTCCTTCCCTTTTCCTCTGTTTCCCTAATAAACTTCGTGGATTTCAATTGGTCAGTATCAAACCAAATGTCACTTCCATCACTCTTCCCAACGGGGGTGCAAGAACGTAACTTATCCTGATGCCCCAACTTTTCCGCCAACCTTGTGATAATTCCACCACAATGAATCTCCCCCATTTTCGTCCCCAAAATAGATAACCAAATTTCACCCTATGGCCCAAATCCAGTCAAGTAGCAAGCCACAAAACCCGGATTTCCTTTGCGGTTATCATACCCTTGTCTTGCTTGTTGAATACCATGTACCCAAGAATTCGGTGTAGAAGTCGAAGAGCGGGGAGCATGATCTAACTAGCTAAGGACTGCTTAGCATTAAAGTTATCTATTCTTGAGATGCTCTTCCACCATTCAAGGGGGTTATAATCATGTAAAGCCTCATGCTCGGGAAAAAAAAGGTTGGCATCGGGGTTAAGGCCGAGGAATTAATGAAATTGACGAAGATTCATGGTTTCTTTCTTATTGAAAAGTTGGAAGGAGATGGAAAGGTCTTTGTCTCTGGTGGCATGGCATTCAAAGGAGGCTAGAAATTCGAGGGTAGGTTCTCGGTAGGTTTGATATGCATTCGCCACAAAGGAGCCTATCCTCAAATTGATGAATACAAGCCAACAATCCTCATCTATGCCGAGTTTTGTTGTTGCTGCTTGGTGGTAGTTCTTTTTGGGTATATGGGTTTATGGTGTTTATTATGGAATTTGAGTTGTTGCAAAGGTGGTGGTGGCTGCTCATTATTTTTAGTGGTTTGAGAAGTGGAACTTTGAGGCTCCTTCCAACTCTTTCTCTTCTTAGAACCAATCATCATATTCACAATCACCAAAATTCAATCAACACCACTCCAATTACAAGTAACAATCCCATTTAATACACCAAACCTTCACAATTCACACACTCCACAATCCACCAAACAACACAAATCAAACAAGATAAACCACCAACAATCACAAATATCAATCAACAAACAACAATCAACCAAGAATTTATCAACACATTTTAACACAAACTACCATTCATACGTCAAAGTTCACCAAAGAAATCCACAAGGAGAACAAAATTAATCACCAAAGCAATTGCTCAAAATTCAAATAAAACTAGAGAGGGAGTGATTATACCAACAATATGTGATCAAAATCAACTCCAACTAGCTTTAAGAACATGAACCCCAAGCAAGCTTTATGATTTACCAATGTAGAACCCACGAAAAATTCGGACCCAAATTGATGTGAAAATGATGAAAGTGATGAATTTTGAGGGAAATTTCCAAGAAATTAAGGGGAATTTGATAGGTTTTGATGATGAGTTTGAGAGGTTACAGTGTGAGAGAACGGGGAATGTTAAAGAGAGAAACAAAGAGAGGTCGAAAATAAGGGGAAAATAAAAAGAATGGTTGCTCGAAGTCGAAATAACCAGGTTATAAAACACAGTTCACCGCGCACGCGGGTTAAATTGTCGTGCTCGTGGGTCAAACAACCGCGCCTTCTTCTGGGGCGCGGCAAGACATCTCAAGGAACTCGAGGGAGAATTTTTAAAACCCTGTCCGCGCCCTCGACTTCTTGGAATTTTCTTCTTTCATAACTCAATCTTGGCTCTTGAAAACAAGTCCCATGAGGTTAGAAAACCCTCAATTCCTAGTCCACAAACTCAATGCCCAAAAAATCAAGTACATACAAAAGAAAAGAATCATAAGAAAAATCAACTAAAACCAACGAAATAAAGGAAGTACAGAAATAAAAGTATTGAGAACTCAAGTTGCCTCCTAAGAAGCGCTTCTTTATGAGGTCACTAGCTTGACCATGCGAAATTATCATTAAGGGGGTCGATTAAGGTCCATAGGATCAAGCCTCATGCATTCGATTAAACGAACTTCATCCTTGCAAGAATAGTTCTTTAAACCATGGTCATTGACCATGAACTTATGATCACCCGTCTCTAACTCAAAAGAACCATAAGGAGTAGACTTTAAAATCACGAAAGGCCCCGACCATTTGGATTTAAGCTTTTCGAGAAACAAATGAAGCTTAGAATTGAATAACAACACCTTGTCTCCAACCTTAAAGCTCTTGTTTCTTATGTGTTGGTGATGCCATTTCTTGGTCTTCTCCTTATATAGCCTTGAGTTCTTATAGGCATCATATCTAAGCTCTTCAAGTTCATTGAGCTTAAGAAATCTCTTCTCACCGGGCAATAACATATCCATGTTAAGTTCTTTGATAACCCACCAAGCTTTATACTCCAACTCAACCGGCAAATGAAAAGCCTTTTCATAGATTGACAGATAGGGGGTTGTACATATTGGAGTCTTGTACACCGTCCGTAGGGCCCAAAGTGTGTCATAAAGCTTGAGGGACCAATCCTTCCTAGATTTGTTCATCATCCTTTCAAGAGGATTCTTGATCTCTCTTTATGTCACCTCCACTTGCCCTTGAGTTTGAGGATGATAAGGTAGACTTACTTTGTGATGAACTCCATACCTCTAAGAAAAGCTTCAAGTTGCTTCTTGGGAAAGTGAGAACCACCATCACTAATTTACACCTTAGGAACCCTAAAACGTGGAAAGATGATCTTCTTGAGAAGCTTAAGCATAACCTTATGATCATTGGTAGGGGAAGGTATGGCTTTAATCCACTTAGTCACATAATCAACTGCTACCAAGATGTATAAATTCCCGCATGAAGAAATAAAAGGCCTAAAAAAGTTGACATCCGAAACATCAAAAGGCTTAACTTTGAAAATGTTTTGTTGAGACATTTCATCTCTTTTGGTAATGCCACAACTTCTTTGGCACTTATCACATCTAGAAACAAACTTGTGAGCATCCTTATGCATCGTTGGCCACCAAAAGAGGGATTAAGAAATCTTTTCCACCATCTAGTCAACTACCCCATGTCCTCCACATGGCAACGAGTGGCAATGCTCTAGAACTCTTTCAATTTCATGGTCTGAAACACATTTCCAGAAAAGGCCATCCCCACACTGTTTAAACCAGTAAGGGTCATTCTAAAAGTATCTCTTCACTTCATTGAAAAACATCTTCTTTTGTTGAGAACTTAACTTTAGGGGAATGACTCTATAATTAAGATAGTAGGCGATATCCGCATACCATGGGCTACATGTTGAAGCTATAGCCATAAGAGTTTCAAATCCCATCTCCTCATTGATTAGTACATCCTCCTTGTTCTCAAAAGGAAGCCTAGACAAATGATCTGCCACATAGTTCTCCGCTCCTTTCTTATCTCTAATCTCCATTTCAAAATCATGAAGCAAAAGAACCCAGTGGATCAGGCATGACTTTGCTTCCTTCTTGGTCCTGAGATAGCGAACCACTATATGATTCGTGTACATAATCACTTTAGAGAAAATAAATACGGACGTAAACTTGTCCATGGGAAACATAACCGCAAGAATTTGCTTCTCCGTTGTTGTGTAATTCTTTTAAGCTTCATCAAGAGTTTTACTTGCATAGTAGATGACATAAGATCTTCCTTCTTTCTTTTGCCCAAGCACCACACCTACTACTAAATCACTCGCATTGCACATTAGCTTAAAAGGCAAGCTCCAATTCGAAGCTTGCATAATGGAGCGAACCGCTATATGATTTGTGTACATAATCACTTTGGAGCAAATAAGATACGACTAATGTTTTCCATGGCAAATACAACCGCAAGAATTTCCTTCTGTATCGTTGTGTAATTCTTTTAAGCTTCATCAAGAGTTTTACTTGCATAGTATATGACATAAGATCTTCCTTCTATCTTTTTCCCAGGCACTGCACCTACTGCAAAATCACTCGCATTGTACATTAGCTAAAAAGGCAAGCTCTAATCTGGAGCTTGCACAACAGGAGAGGAAATAACAGCTTCCTTGAGCTTCTAAAATGCCTCAAGACAAGCCACACTAAAGACAAATTAAACATCTTTTTTTAGTACTTCGGTCAAAGGTTTGGCGATTAATTAAAAAGCTTTGATAAACCTTCGGTAAAAACCGACATGCCCTAGAAAAGCTCTCACTCCCGTAATGGATGTAAAAGGGGACAACTTTGCAATAATCGAAACTTTGGCTGAATCAACCTCAATGGCCTTCTTTGACAATTTATGGCCTAGGACAATGCCCTCATCAACCATAAAATGACATTTTTCCCAATTTAAAACCAAACTCGTCTATCGACACCTTTTCAAAACTTTTTGAAGATTGTAAATACAAATGTAAAAAGATGAGCCACCAACACTAAAATCATCCATAAAAACTTCAATCTCATTTTCAATCATCTCGGAAAAAATGGAATTCATGCATCGTTGGAATGGTGAGGGAGCATTGCATAATCTGAATGGCATTCTTCGGTATGTGAATGTCCCATATGGATATGTGAAAGTAGTGTTCTCTTGGTCACTTGGATGGATACGAATTTGGAAAAATCTAGAATACCCATCTAAGAAACAAAAGAAAGCATGGTGTGAGAGTCTTTAAATGGGAGGGGGAAATGATCCTTCTTTGTATTGTTGTTCAATCTCTTATAGTCAATACACCTTCTCCACCCAGTCACCGTCAAGGTGGAGATCTCCTCTCCTCCTTCACCCTTGACGATGGTCATTCCACCTTTCAATGGAACCACGTGAATCGGGCTAACCCAATTAACAATCGGAGATACATAAAAAATGCCTGCTTCACGCAATTTTAAAATTTCCTTCTTGACAACCTCTTGGAGATTGGGGTTCAACCTACTTTAAAGTTCAATTGAGGTGGATTGATCATATTCAAGATGAATACTATGCATGCACACAGCGGAGCTAATACACTTGATATCGTCAATACTATATGATTTGGGTAAAAATACCCATGTCAGGTGGCCCAATCAGAATGGGACACGTGTCACGCCAAGACAGGTCCAATAAAGGCCACTAACCAGTTGATACGTGGCACTCCAAATCAGCAAGGGGAAAAGACGTCCCTTAGGGCCTAATTCCCTACACAACAATCAAAGGTCAGGCGGCCTCATGATGACCCCATAGTCATCGAGTGCAAAGTCGCCACTTGTGATTCGCCTAGGTCAATCTTTTAGGAAGTAATGGAAAAAAGAAGCATGGAACATGATCCAATTGGAATTCTGCACCGAAGCTCTACCCGAATGGATGACATCCGGGATTATTTTGTAGACGGCACTTTGTCGGATAGCCCTTCAAAAGCGGCAGCGTCGAAATAATGAGCTTTAAGTTTCGAGATCTATAAAGGGGAAATCTTCAAAAAGCGTTACCTCTAGTCGTTGCTAAAGTGTGTCACTCTTGAAAAAGGAATAGAGGTTCTAGAGGATCTGCACTCAGGCTTTTGTGCATCACATATAGGCGGCAGAACACTAGAAAAAAGGTCAGGCAGTAAGGCTACTTTTGGCCCACTCTTGAGGCAGACGCCATCGAAATAGTGAAGAAATGTGACAAGTGCCAGAGATTTGGCTGGCTCATAAATCGTCCGGCTATTGACCTGATGGCGATCTACAGCCTGGTTCCATTTGCAAAGTGGGGCATGGACATCTTATGTCCTTATACGCCTACCTCAGGCGGAAGAAGATACATTCTGGTGGCTGTAGATTACTTCATCAAATGGGTAGAGGTAGAGGCAGTCAAAGGCATTACGACAAAGGACGTCATCTCCTTCATTTGGAGAAACATCACGAGCTTATTGGAAGATCAAGGGATCTCACATTGTTTCGCATCAATCGGCCATCCCCAAGCAAATGGTCAAGTTGAAGCTTTCAACAAACTGGTCTCAGACGGTATCAAGAAGAGAATTTAAAGGCCTGACGGTCTATGGGCGGATGAGTTGCATCATGTCCTATGGGCCATCAGAACAACTGAAAAGGGGACAACCGGTGAAACCCTATTTCTCATGACATACGGCACTAAAGCCGTCCTGCCAATTGAACTTTATGAGCCAACACTCTGAATCATGCTCTATGATGAAGAGGCAAATTGGGAGGTCATGCGACTAGCATCGGATACACTCACGGAGCGCAGGGGCAATGCCGCCTTGTGGCATGAGATTTACCGTCTAAGAATGACAAGAGCCTAAAACAAAAGAGTGCATAAACGACCATTGAAAGTCGGGGATTTTGTGCTACAAAAAATGGAGGCAACCGGCAGGGCCAATGAGCAGGGGAAGCTAACTCCTAATTGGGAGGGCCCTTACCGAATTTTCGATGAAGTTAGAGGCGGCACCTACCGCCTGGAAACTCCAGACAGCAGGCAGCTAGCCAGAACTTGGAATGTAGACAACTTGAAAAACTACTACTTCTAAAACTTGTAATCTTTTATACTTTTGTAAATACAGTATTAATGAAAGAATGCTTTATTAAATTTTGTTCTGTACAAAGCCCTGACTGTATACTACACAACCGGGCAAATTTTGAGGCCAAAGGCCAGATTCTCTTAATTTTTGTATATTGTAATTTTGTTTGTGTAATGCATGACCGGGCAAACTTTGAGGCCAAAGGCCAGATTTTATCTAAAACCAACCGCCTGCTCCAACATGAGCATGCAGTCAGGGCTAGAGAACATCTCCCATTTGGGTGGACATTGTTCTACCAAAATGTACAAACGACTAAAAATCGGTTTTCCAAGTTAAAATTGTCGTTAGAATATGGAATTGAAATCGAGAGACCTCATGTTGTTCCCAAGTGACACAGACGGTTCCCGAAATCTCGATCAAAGATACACGACTTTTGCTCAAAAGCATCACAGCCGGTCTCTCGCCAACCAGTTCACCTAAGAAATATGTAAAGGTAGAGATACAGCCGCATGACGCTCTAAAGAAGCGTAAGCGGCCACTCAAAGGCACCCAACCGGTTATCAACCCAAGGTAACTATTAAAATTGACTAACACAACCTCATGTTGCCCCAAAGTGGCGCAATCGGTATTCATGGTCTGGTTCAGGTTAAATCGGTCCTCACTCAAAGGCACTACAGCCGGTTAGAGGCCACTTGTTTCCTATCAAACGCCTAAGAATGATTACCCGAAGGGTATCAAACTGTCGAATATGCGATGAGCATTAGCAAGTACCATATGCTATCCCTACTTAGCCATTTCAGCAACTCTCAAAATGGTCAAGAGACCGCCTGTTTATTCTCTAGATGCTCGTTTGGATGGCTACTTGCTTAGAGTAGGGCAGCTACCACACACACAACCGTCCAGGGGCAAGGAAGCTCATACATCTGGGATATTACATACAAATCAGATGCAAAAATTGAAGCTACAAAAAACTGAAGCAAAACGGCGAAAATTGAAATTGAGAGACATTAAATAGAAATAAAGCCGACTTAGCCGGCAAATGTATAAATTGGCTTATAGCAAAAATAAATTGTTAACCGGACCTATGTCTGGGAAAAG